GTATTATTATATAGTTATATCGGTCTGCTGACCATAATATAGTACGATGGGTTCCTAATAAAGTTGATGCTATTACCAAACCTAAACCGATTAAGCGTCTTATACGCCGCTATCCGCCTTGAATTCTTTCGGCCGATGGGCCAGCACGCATCAATGGTTCAGTAATCTGGGTCCAAGCCCTTCCGTAGATGACCTAGCTAATTCCTTCTCATCCCAAGTATCTACAGCATTTGACAGTCTTATTCCCCTGAAATTTGTTAGGTTTTGCCATTCCGATAAACCATGGATGTCTGTGTCTATCAAAAAACTCATTAATGACCGTCAAAGAGCTTTCCATGGTGGAGATGTTCTGCAGTGGAGAACTTTGAAATATAAGGTCCAGACCGAAATAGCCGTAAGAAAGAAAGAATATTACAAAACTAAAGTAGAACATCTTAAGAAAGACGATTGCCGAAAGTGGTGGCAAGTCGTAAATAAGTTGTCTGGCCGATCTCAGAAGTGTACTAAACTTACCTTTGAAAAGGAAGGTGAATTATTATCAGATTTAGAACTGGCCAATAACTTGAACAAGGTTTACATCTCGGTTAACGCAGACATTCCACCACTAGATATAACCACGTTACCAGCATACTTACCTGCTGTTGATCAAGTGCCTTACATCGAACCGCACGAAGTCTGTGAGAAATTATTGGTCGTTAATGCCTCCAAAACATGTGGTCCTGATAATATTCCAGGTCGCCTTTTGAAGGAATTTGCGCACCTTTTCGCTGAACCAGTTGCGAAAATTTTCAATATGTCACTTGCATCCGGGATTGTTCCAAATATATGGAAAGACTCACATATTACTCCCATTCCAAAAGTTAAACAACCAACTGACGAGGGTGACACAAGACCCAATTCACTAACGCCGTGCCTTTCTAAAGTTCTCGAAGATTTTGTCGTTAGATGGATGATCTCTGACGTTAGGAATAATATTGACGCACAACAGTTCGGTTCTTTAAAGGGTTCATCTACGACCTATTGCTTGCTCGACATGTTGCATTGTTGGCTTTCTCATTTGGATTCAACTGGCCATTTTCTTCGCATATGCTTTTTGGATTTTTCAAAGGCCTTCGACCGTATTGGCCATAACATTCTTATCCAAAAACTTGTTGATATTGGCGTTAGGCGATCGTTAATACCATGGATCGTAAACTTTCTATCAGGGCGAAGACAGCGGGTCAAACTTGCGGAAGCTGTTTCTTGTTGGCTTCCTGTCACAGCCGGTGTCCCCCAAGGTACGAAGTTGGGTCCGATCCTGTTCTTAATTATGGTCAATGATTTACAATGCGGTTCGGAGAGGCCTAGCAATTGGAAATTCGTTGATGATGTTACTATCTCTGAGGGATTATTAAGGAATGGGGAACCGTCTGTAATCCAGTCTGATTTAACTTCTATAGCTACATGGGCATCTAATAACCTGATGAAATTGAACGCAAAGAAATGCAAAGAGATGCAAATTTGTTTCTTTCGGAACAAACCTGAATTACCACACTTGTGTGTTGAAGACCAGATCTTAGAATGTGTATCGTCGCACAAGGTTCTTGGATTGATTATCCAGGATGACCTTAAGTGGAACGAACATATTTCGATGATTGTTACCAAAGCATCCAAGCGACTGCATATCCTACGTGTCCTACGACGGGGAGGGATTCCACCGCACGACCTTATCACAATTTATTATGCATTGATTAGATCTACATTAGAATATTGTTGTACAGTATGGCATTGTGGTCTACCTATGTATCTGTCTGAACAAGTCGAGAAAATTCAAAAACGTGCATTGAGGATTATACTGCCAGGTCGATCCTACGGTGAAGCGCAAGAAATGTTGCAGTGTCCTAGGCTGGATATACGTCGAGGTGAACTTTGCGAAAAGACGATAAAAAATATTGCATTGGGCAGTCGTCTTTCTTCCCATCTAACTCTCACCAGTGAAAACGAACATGTGTATAATTTAAGGAATTTTAAACAATTCGCTTCTTTTAAAAGTAGAACTAATAGATTTGGTAATAGTTTTTTCCCTAGCATGATTAGTGTTTTAAACAAATAATTGTTCTTAGTTATAAGTTCTTATTTAATAAGCTAATGATACATTGTAATATAGTTACTTTTAGTATTGTAATTCCCATTCAAATCAATTGTAAAACACATTGTAATTCATTTTCATGCGATGATGTGTTATTAAAATACCATTATTATTATTATTATATCAACACTCGTGGAAATTGTGAAAACTCGAAATTGTGTGAAAACACTCCGCCCTTCGGGCGTCGTGTTTCCACACAATTTCTCGTTTTCCCAATTTCCACTCGTGTTGATATAACTGTATATCAACACGGAAAATGTTTTATATTTGTTAAATATACACCCCTGTAACTAACACCTCGAATTTTGGTATTTTCTAGTGGACGATGGTTGGTACAGAGCCCAGATTCTCAGCATACCATCACCAAATGAAGTGGAAGTGTGTTATATCGATTTTGGGAATTGCGAGCGTGTAGGATTACACGAAATCAAGAACCTTGCCCCTGCCTTTCACAACACGGCCATACAAGCCGTGAAATGTTGTCTACGCGGAGCGAAGGAAAACTGGAACGGGAGAGAATGCGAGACTTTTGATATCCTGGTACTGGAACAGCACTTGGTTGCCGATGTGAAATCTATTGGTAAGAGAATCAAATAAACAGGCATACCCAGCAAATAACTGTAAAGCCAAACATAATAAAAGTAAAAAAAAATATTAACTAACGTTTCGTTGTTTACAATACAACATCTTCAGAGCAATCTAAATGAATTTACAAGGTATGGTATATATATCTACCACTCTTGAGTTATTTTAGTTACGTAATATTAACCTTAACTATACTAACCATGCACTTAATATTAACTAGTTACTGATAAGTTGTTTTCCTTTCATTTTATTCGTTTGTTCTTTCAAACTTTGTAAATATATAATATATACCATACCTTGTAAATTCATTTAGATTGCTCTGAAGATGTTGTATTGTAAACAACGAAACGTTAGCTAATAAAATTTTTTACTTTCATTATGTTTGGATTTAAAGTTATTTTTGCTGGGCTCTGCTCTTTATCGTTAAACTAAGATTTCCGCCTGGTGTATCGATTGCCACAGTTTTAAAGAAACAGGCATACCTTCTAGCCACAAGCCGTGGTTATAAGGCATGTCGAAATCAGGCACGGTGAAGGTTCCCACTAATATACTTTCATCCCATTTCACTTTAGATTCCAACTCGAAAACTTTGACAATCGACCTGCTTGATACGCGTGGTTCGGACAACCTGAACATCCTCGATGTTCTCAGAGCTAAAACCTCGGGGAAGCAGGAAAAACTACCAAAGCTCGCGGCTCTTCCAAAACTGCAGCTCAAAGATGTGGAGAATATTCTAATTGAGAGTGCAGAATCTCTGGATAACTTCGTGTGTCAATTTTCCAGATTTAACCACGAGCTCGACACTGTAATGAACATGATGTACGAGACGTACCACGAAGGAACACCGCCAGACTTTGTAACCGCACCTTTAGAAGTTGGTGACGTCATGGCGGCCATGTTTACCGAAGATGAAACATGGTACCGGGCCTTTGTCTCGGGCCTAAAACCCGATGGTAGCGTGTCTGTGACATTTATTGACTACGGTAATTCCGAGACGATCTCTAAAGCTGATATTGGTCAGAGGGTGCGACGCCTTGCTAAAGAATTACTTCGATATCCGGCCATGCGGGGCGTGGTTTGCTCGTTGTCGCGTGTCAGCACTGACGGTCAGCGGTATTCGTGGACCCCACGCGCGCACGAGGCGTTCGTTCGCTATGTGGTCGAGAAAGAGTTTCGAGCAAGGCTAAGCTCTGACAGTGAACCGTACAAAACGATCCTGGAGGATAAGTCTGGAAGTCTTCACGCGTGGTTGGTACGTGAGAAACTCGTGACAAGCAGAGAAACGGAACCGGATATAGTACAAGATGATTTCTATGAACTTGAGGTGGATGTGGGGACATTGTGTGACGTCTATGTCACGTCTGTTGTCAATCCGGAGAAATTTTTCGTTCAACAAGCTGCGAATGCGGACGCCATTGATAAAGGTTGGTTCACCAAGTAAATCTGCTTCGTTTTGTCATTGGTCTACACGCGTAAAAATCTCGCATCTTGTAGCAAGTCTGCAACAAGCCGTCAACAAGTTGTGTTCGCACTGCTTGTCCCAAGTTGTCAACAAGTTTGTAGCAAGCTGTTAACAACTTGTAACAACCTTGTCGATATTTTCAGACTTGTTGCAAGGTTGTTCCAACAAGTCCGATACAGTCATGATATAACAGTATTGTTACAACCTTGTGTCGTCAACCTTGTATCGTCAACCTTGTAACATTCTTGTTACATCATGATTGTATCAGACTCGTTAGAGCAACCTTGTAACAAGTCTGATAATGCCATCAAGGTTGTTACAAGTTGTTAACAGCTTGTTCCAAACTTGTTCCAACAACTGGGAACAAACAGTCCTGCAATTATATTCAGCAATTTGTCAACAAGTTGTGCGTGACAACCTTGTAGCAACTTCAAAAAAAGAACAGCATTGTTACAACTTGTTGGGACAAGCTTCGTTTGTAACAAACTCGTAGCAACTTGTTACAAACAGCCTGTATTATTAGTCTTGTTGGAGCAACTTGTATATAGCAGGTTTGTTACCGTCATCAACCTTGTAACAAGGTGATAACAAGTTGTTCCAGACTGCTTGTTCCCAATTGTTGTGACAAGTCTGGAACAAGCTGTCATCACCTTGTTACAAGGTTGATGACGGTAACAGACTTGCTACATGTTGTTCCAACAAGACTTGTAATACAGGCTGTTTGTCACTACGAGCTTGTTGTCATCAACTTGTTAACAACTTACTTGAAACACTAATCCTTTAAATGAAGCTAAAGTAGCCAAGTGAAATGTTCTATTCTTTTATGTTCTAGTTATGGACGACCTCCACGTGAGCTGTACTGATGAATCCCGAGGAGCAATAACGAATATCCATGCGGGTACTTTATGCGCAGCTCAGTACACTGCTGACGATGCTTGGTACCGCGCCAGAGTTACTCAAGAGACTGGACCGGACTCGTTTGAAGTAGTCTTTGTTGATTATGGCAATAGTGAAATCTTGTCTGCAAACAGGTAATTCTGGTTGGAAAAACTCTTTTACCGCTAGAATTTTCAACCTGAATGACATTCCTAGGGTTCTGGATCATTTTCATTATTTTGTGAAGAGCTTATTTTCTTCGATTTCTGAATTTGAAATTCTAGCCTAAACCGCTTCTTATTTATAGGGGGGTCTAAATAATTTTTTTAGCCTAACAGGTTCGTAACTTCTCGGTTCTTATATATGAGTTTTACTGTATTGCACATCAAAAGACTGACATTTTATTCGTTTTATTTGAAGAATTAAAGAACTAGAACCGAGTCTCCTGGAGTTACCTGCACAAGCTCTGTGTTGCAGCCTACAGATGAAACGACCGAGGTCTTGGGATTCGGAAACGAACGAACGATTGGAAAACATTACCGCTGACAAGTGTTTAAAGATGACTGTAGTGAAAGCACTTGATGATAAATTACTCGTGACCATGAAGGATGAAGGGGGATCATCGTTGAATGATATGTTTGATTCACGCGATGGTGCGGAGCAAGTGCCTGTCAAGGTATCGAACATTAACAGTATTCCAGCCTAGACCTATAGGCCTTCTATTTTTTTTTAATATTCAGCGCTTTTTCACATGAAAAGACTGGGACTAGGTGATTTGGGGGCGGGGCGGAGGATGCGCAAGCGAAAAAATAAAAGGCCTAGTGGATTTCCCAACAACGAGGCCTGCCCTGAAACTGCCCTGGTTGCGAAATGCCCAATTAGTGCGTTCTCAAACAGAATTATTTGCAACTTAACAGCGAATTTAAACCGATACAGGTAAAATAAACTCATTTATAGTATAAATTTACTCTTTTTATTTGTATACACGCCTAGAAAATCGGGGTTTTTATCATAAAGTTTGAAGCAACACTATTATTATGTTGCGAATTAGGTCAAAATGAGTCAAAATATTACTACAAAATAGAACTTAGTTTAGTCATAAAATGTTTTTATAGTTAATATAATAACTACTGGACAGTATAAATTGCTTTAGTTGTTGGTTTCTGATCAATTTCGGATCACAAAGTTATGGGGCTAATTTGAGAACTTGTGAAATCTACTAGGCCTTTACGAGGCGAATGACCATATTTGCGATAATTACCAGCCGAGTATAAAAGGCCTAGGTGTAGGCTGACAGTATTCTATGACCTTAAGTCGTATATGAGCTATTGAAATCTGGTCCATTTTAATGGTCGTGTGATTCATTTAGTTAGGGGCCCCCCCCCCCCCTAGAACCTCTCTAACCCCCTTATATAAAGTGTTCAACCCCACCAAAATTTCACTTCAGCCCTCTTATTTTGTGTGAAAGTCTTTAACCCTAACGCCTAACCTTTGCCGAAGGTTGCTCAGTGGTGTCGCCTGCACCCCTCTAGAAAGTTTTCCACCCCTCCTTAGAAAAATGAAAATCCGCCCTTGGGTCCCTGACTTTTTTCTTGATGCGCCCTGTATAGACTTGCTATTTCTCCGATTCACTATAGTGCAAATAAGTGAAATAACATCGCGCAGCACGCGAGGAAAGCGGCGCCTGTATATAATGAACCCAAATGATCTCATGAATGTAATGCCCAGATCGGATCAGAATGAGAGTTGAGAAGCGAGAGTTTGTTTGCATGAGAGTTTTCTCAACTCTCATGTCCCGGGCAAACGAGAACAAGAGTTGCATGAGAGTTGATGAGAGTTGAGAAGCGAGAGTTTGTATGTGAGTTTTCTCAACTCTCATGCCCCGGTCAAACGAGAACAAGAGTTGCATGAGAGTTGATGAGAGTTGAGAAGCGAGAGTTTGTATGTGAGTTTTCTCAACTCTCATGCCCCGGTCAAACGAGAACAAGAGTTGCATGAGAGTTGATGAGAGTTGAGAAGCGAGAGTTTGTATGTGAGTTTTCTCAACTCTCATGCCCCGGTCAAACGAGAACAAGAGTTGCATGAGAGTTGATGAGAGTTGAGAAGCGAGAGTTTGTATGTGAGTTTTCTCAACTCTCATGCCCCGGTCAAACGAGAACAAGAGTTGCATGAGAGTTGATGAGAGTTGAGAAGCGAGAGTTTGTATGTGAGTTTTCTCAACTCTCATGCCCCGGTCAAACGAGAACAAGAGTTGCATGAGAGTTGATGAGAGTTGAGAAGCGAGAGTTTGTATGTGAGTTTTCTCAACTCTCATGCCCCGGTCAAACGAGAACAAGAGTTGCATGAGAGTTGATGAGAGTTGAGAAGCGAGAGTTTGCATGAGAGTTGATGAGAGTTGAGAAGCGAGAGTTTGTATGTGAGTTTTCTCAACTCTCATGCCCCGGTCAAACGAGAACAAGAGTTACATGAGAGGTGATGAGAGTTGAGAAGCGAGAGTTTGTATGTGAGTTTTCTCAACTCTCATGCCCCGGTCAAACGAGAACAAGAGTTACATGAGAGTTGAGAAGCGAGAGTTTATTTGCATTAGAGTTTTCTAACTGTCGTGCCCCGGGCAAACGAGAACAAGAGTTGCATGAGAATTTATGAGACTTGGCTGGCTATATACTGTATTACCTGCACGCGTAGCAAAAACTCTCATCGAAATTTAAACAAGCTCAAAGTTGACGAGACTTGATGAAAGTCGACAGTTAGCACTCTCGTCAACACTCAATTCTCATTTGACCGGGACTTAAAATCTAGCATTCCTTTATCTCGATAGGCTGTTGAGGTATCCCTATCACCATTCCCTGTCACGGCAGAGCAGACAGCAGAAGTGTACACCAGTCACGTGGAAAGTCCTGGAGAGTTTTATGTGCAGTTTTCTAGCACCGAAGAAGAACTTGGACGTTTGAGTGAGCAATCTGCCGAGATTTATGATGGTCCAGAAAGCGAGAACTACAGAGTGAATAATCCACAGCAGGTATACCATACACATATTTTACTTTTCCATATACAATAACTAGTTCACGATATGGCAGTGTCACTTTTGTTTGTCCAAAATATAACCGGGAAACAGAAGGTGGCAAATCGTTTGTAGTATCAGCATTTAGACTGAGGTCTAAAGCCGGTTTTCCACTAGCGAATTTACTCACGCCAAGCGACCTTTTTTCTTCGTCGGCATCCATTTTTCCACGTCTTGCTGACGTAATAAGCGATACCGACAAAGGAAAAAGGTCGCTTCGCGCGACCGCGAGTCGCTAGTGGAAAACCGGTTAAGGCCTGTTTTATACGTCGAATTTCGGTCGCGTCGAATGCAATTCAAACAATAGATAGTGAAGCTTAATGCGATTTACAGGGTTCGTAGCGGTCTTTGAAATCCTTGAAAGTCTTTAAATTTGAATGCAGGTCTTTAAGGTCTTTGAAAAGTCTTTGAATTGTGTGAAAAAGTGAAGAAAGTCTTTAAAAGTCTTTAAATTCTTCAGTGAGTATTTGATTATACGATTTCCTAGCTACTAAAATAGATTGATTGAGCAAGAATTTCGCAAATATCGACGAAAAGGCGCATTTTAGGATGTGATTTGACGGGACTAATTACCGCGGGTGAAAATGGTGCTTACACTCGCAATTTTTCGACAGCTAATTGCTCTCAAAGGTCTTTGAAAAGTCTTTGAAAATAGACAGAAAAAGTCTTTGAAAGTCTTTGAATTTTTTTGGTCTTGGAGACTACAAACCCTGATTTATAATCTCATCTATTGTCTTAAATGCATTCGACGCGACCAAAATTCATTTTAACCTTTTTCTAACTTTAGCTTTAGTCTTAGTTCTAGTTATATTGTATCATGTTTAATGTAATATTTTAGACTTTTAGAGGGCCACAGGCTTTTCAGGCTTCGGCTGTAATGTGTTTCACCCTCATGAAATTAATTTGGGAGAAAAAAAACACGAAACAAAACACTTGTCTAAAACTTTCACTCGTGTTTCTGTGGGAACCCAATAATATTTCTATTCTTATAACATTACCTTGGATTTGTAGGGTATGTTTTGTTGCGCGCGGTATTCCGATGATGGTGCTTGGTATCGAGCTCAAGTAACTGCCATTGATTCAACCAACCAGTCGGCAACAGTTCGCTTTGTCGACCATGGAAACACCGACGTAGTCAACCTGTCATCTGATCTCCGACATCTGTCCGCTGACTTGTCAAGATCGCCTTGTCAAGCTATACCGTGCAGCCTTGCGCGTGGAGCCTGGTCACCTGAACAGTGCTCCAGTTTTGAAACTGCTGCTATGGATAAACCTCTTCAAGCCACCTTTAATGAACTCGTGGATAACATCTGGCTGGTCACACTTAAAGACGGCAGCGTTTCTCTTAACCAGTTGCTAGCTCCTCGCGGGGAAGCTCCTCGCGAGAAAACTTCTTGCGAGAAAACTTCTTGTGTTAAAAAGCCGTGTTTGTCCACCGGAGACGAGCCTTCTGTGTACATCGTCAGCGTTAATTCACCAGATGATGTCATACTTCAGTTAAGTAGTCACGTGGATGACTTGGATGCGTTAATGGATGATATAGCGACAAATCCGCCACAAGTCAGTTTACCAATCACTAAAAGAGAATGTGGAATGCATTGTCTTGCTCAGTTTACTGAAGACGAGGCATGGTATCGAGCAAAGGTATAAGTTTCAACTAAAAACTAGCGGGGACTTGGAGACTGCTCCATGTACAGATAATTCAATTAAGGTTGTCCAGAGAAAACTGCCAAACTTTGACCTCTAAGCACGAAAAGCATTATTATTATGACATTGTTGTGAATTTAATTCCCAAAGGAGTCAAGCACATCACACGAACAACTTTCGTTAACATTAAAAAGTTTAAAAATCCAATGAATTCTGCCAAGTTTGCTATTGAATTGGGTTAGACAGGCAAATAAAATCCGAGAAAGATGAAAATGCTAAAACGGCTTGTGGAACGTAACGACGGAGTGTTTGCGTGTGTCATCGTGCTTTACGCGCTTAGAGGTGCTTTACGAGTGCTTTACGAGCTTGTGGTTTTGAGTTTCGACTTTGAAAGGACAACCTTGATTGATGTTTGTGATGTTACTCTGAGTGTATATCCACACCGGGCGAGCTTGAAAAATATGCCCGGCCACGGTGGGAATCGAACCTACGACCTTTGGAATACTAACCCAATGCTCTGCCAACTGAGCTACGCGGTCAGATCAGAAACATCATATTCACCTGAGTACACAACACCAACACAGAAAAGATCGTATTACTAGATTACATTGGTATCGAAGGAACGAGATTCTGTTCCGAAATATCACTTACTCGAACCGACATTATCGCGTAGCTCAGTTGGCAGAGCAATTGGACTAGTATTCCAAAGGTCGTAGGTTCGATTCCCACCGTGGTCAGGCATATTTTTCAAGCTCGCCCGGTGTGGATATACACTCAGGGTAACATCAGAAACATCATATTCACCTGAGTACACTACACCAACACAGAAATGATTGAATTAGCTGTATATCTGGAAGGAAAACTTGGAACCGACATGGTTCCAACAGCTGGATAACCTGGATTCGTTTGACTCAAAAGCGGAAGAGTGAAGTAAATTATATTCACAACGTTTGTATTTATTATTATTTTTCAGTATCGAATTTACACTAAAACAATAGGCTTGTAATCACCTCGCCTTCGGTGACTAATTGTTCAATAGAGCTCACTGAATATATCTGGTATTTTCAGGTCTTAGAATGCGATGGAGACAAAACGAAAGTTCTGTACGTCGACTACGGCAACCAGGAATGGATTACTGCCGATAGACTTGCTCCGATCTCTAAACAATTTTCCAATTTACCTGAAGTTTGTTTCTGCTGCAATTTGGACCTTTCTTCGGCTCCTGGTACCTGGGCTGAAAACTCCAGCGAGAAATTGATGAACTTGTATGGAGAAAATGAACTTCGCTGCCAGGTTGTGGCAAAGACTGACGATGGTTTTGTAGTGAAATTATTCTGTGGCGACGAAGATGTGTTGGCTAAGGTTGTTACATCTGATGAGTCCACTCCCGCTGGGACTATTGAAGATAGTGCAGAAACACCGACCGGTGGTGATTTTATAATCAAACAACTAAAGACAGGCGATAGAAAGGACGTCATATGTTCCCATATTGAAACAACTCAGAAACTTTGGTGTCAGCTCGTTGAGGATCAAGAAACTTTAGATGTCCTTATGACGCGTTTGGATGAAGTATACGGTGCACTTGGGACCGAGGAACTGCTTCTCAAGAGTTACGATGTCGGCTCTCCTTGCTGTGGCCAGTTTCTTGAAGACGATGGATGGTATCGTGCCGAAATACTTGGCATGCAGGATCAAGGTATATTTTACATTTATTACTTACCAGGTCAGGTATACGTCCCTGGTATAAACGGGGATTGATTGTAATGCGTTTGCGCTACAACTGACCTGGGATAGACCTATCACCAAAATTTTCTGAATGAAGTGACACTCGGTTGCTATAACTGTAACATTAACAAGTGGTCAAACCGAATGCCATGCTATATTTTAAGAGAAAAAATTATTTCTATTGGTTAGACTTTTCCTCGTGATTTCTCCTTTTATTTAAATTTTCTTTCTTAGGGAAATATTTTTTGGGAACTAAAAAAAATATTTCAGGCACCAATGGTCCAGTGATCCGATACCTTTTTCACCCCTGTTGCAGTTAGTAGGAAAAAAATAAAATCAAATCAAAACTGCAGCTCAGCAACACTATTCATTATATGTAATGTAGTCCTAATCGCCATGTTTTATGTTAAGGTGTAATGGTAAGATATGTTGATTATGGAAACGAGGAAGTATTACCCACTTCAAGATTACGAATCCTGAAGACAGAGTTTTTCGCAACTCCACGCCAAGCTTATGTTTGTTTACTAAAAGATATCGAAGCCGAAGGTGGCGAATGGAGCCCGGATGCTCTGACGTTGGTTGAAGGATTTATTTCTGAAAGGTTTGTATTTGAATTAAGGTGGCTCGATACAGTTTTCAAAAATTCAGGTGTTTAACACTTTGACATGTTCAAACTACGCATTTTTAGGATTTATTCAGCAGATATTGGGTTTTTTATATATTTCGATATCTCTACTTTCAAATTATATTCGTTTTAGTAACAGATAGTTCGTTGCTATGACGACATACGTGTACGAAATTGACTCCAAAATGGCCTATCGTCTCGTATAGTTGGAAAAAAAGCATGGTGACCCCCAATTGTTTTTTCATGCATTATTTTACTTGGACGAAAAGCTAACAATTAGCAAAATATAAAAAATTTCTGTAATGCCATTTTTTTGGAAAATGCGAAAATGTCATATTCTTCGGTAACATTTTTTTTTTGGCATTACAGATTTTTTTAATTTTTTGTATAATGAAAATTTTTAGCGGTGCAATACAGCATGCAAAATTTGAACATAGGTCACCAGACAAAATAAAGAGATATAGGGCATTGTTTTTCTAAAATGGAAAATTCTAATGACGTCAGCAATTGGCATAAAACGCTATAGAACACGCGCAATGGCGTGAGATGGCGCGAGGGTGGGTTGGGATTAGCCCCCTAACTGACCCTTCCACCGTAGTTGTGCTCCATGATCAGACATGAGTCATAAGGTGGCTGCCAGAGGCGACCTTAGAAAGCCTTCCACACAATGAGGTTGAGCTGTGTCCTTCGCAAGTCAGCTGCAAGTAAGGATGATTATCGCACCCCCACTTACTTACTTATTCTCTTAGAAAGCCTCGTCTCTTCGATGTTAGCTTTAAGAAACCAAACGTATTGATGATTGCTAGTATCTTATATATTTTATTTTAATTATTAAATTACACTACCAATTTTAAGCATGTATATACACAATTCAGCTTTTGGTTGCAATGTATCTAAAGATGATGAATAGTAATAATAATTAACATTTTGTTGCTTTTTTATTAGGTCTCTTGTTGTAGAAATATCATCTGTGGATGAGTTAACTGTTAGTGGCGTTCTTTACGGAGGTTCAGAAGATGGGGAAGTACCATTGAATGACCTTCTTGTCCAGAAATCATTTGCTGTTAATGTTTCCCAGCAAACCATCGAGGAAAAGCCCAAGTATCACGACACTGTCGTGTCCTATACAACCATAGCTGCCAAACTTGGTCACAAGATAAATCTATTCTGCGTTTCTGCGGATTCGCCCGTGAGTATTTGGTGTCAGTTATCCGATTCTGAAGCTGAGTTGCTGGAGCTCATGGAGAGACTAGGAGCGTTTTATGGAAGTTTAGATGAAAATGAATGGGCTGTAGAAGAACCGGTCATTGGAGCGGCCGTTTGTGCACAATTCACTGAGGACGACTCGTGGTATCGCGCTGAAATCCTTGAAACTAGCCCGAGCATTATGGTCCGTTTTGTTGATTATGGTAACAGTGAAGAATTGCCTCGCTCTAGAGTGAAACGCTTAACGGAGGATTTTGTGGTTCTGCCCAAGCAAGCGATCTCCTTTGCTCTGTCCGGCGTCTCGTCGCAGTCTCTTCAAGAATGGTCGGATGAGAAAAAATTCGCGATGGAGGAGTTGTGTTCTGAGAAATGTTATGTTGGTGAAATTCTCGAAACAACCGACACCGCTATCCTAGTTTCCTTGCAAGACCAAGAGTCCCATGTAATGTTACTGGATGAGTTATGCCAAGCCAACCTTGTTATTAAGAAATCGGAAGTGGATTCCGCGCCTGATTCCAATGGTCTTGTGCACTCAGAAGTTCCCGCAGAAGAACAGCCAGTGGACGACACAACGACTTCGGAAGAACAGCCAGTGGATGACACAACGACTTCGGAAGAACAGCCAGTGGACGATACAACGACTTCGGCAGAACAGGCAGTAGACGACACTTCGGAAGTACAGCCAGTAGACGACACTTCGGAAGTGCAGGCGGTTGACGATACACCGACTTCGGAAGAACAGCCAAAAGATGATACACCGACTTCGGAAGAACAACCAGTAGACGATACACCGACTTCGGAAGTACAGCCCAAAGATGATACACCGACTTTCGAAGAACAGCCAGTTGACGATACACCGACTTCGGAAGAACAGCCTAAAGATGATACGCCAACTTCAGAAGAACAGTCAGTTGACGATACAACGACTTCGGAAGAACAGCCAAAAGATGATACACCGATGTCAGCAGAACAGCCAAAAGATGACACACCTACTTCGGAATTACAGCCAGTTGACGATTCACCAGTCTTGGACGAACAAGCAATAGACGTTACTTCTGATTTGGTAGAAGCTCTTCCAGACGAACGCCCCTCCGTCGTAGCGCAAGCCGGCGATGTCGTACCCAGCACTAATGCTCGAATTAACGACGCTGAAAACCTGACAAGAACAGCTTTTCCCGGTGACAGTGAAGAAGATTTGAATGACGCCACAGCTGTTTGTGACGCTATCGAGCGCGTGCTTGCTGAGATTGACTCTCGTGAAGGAGATCGCAGCGCAACACCAGAAACAAGTGATACTGAGCTGGCTGCTCTTGGCATTGACAATATACAAATGGAAGAAGGTACAAAATTGTGCAATGAAGAGGCTGCCGCCATCACACCAAGTGAAGAAGCACCTAGCAATGAGGTAAAAACAATGTAGCAGGTATTCAAATTGCGAGCACTTAGAACTTTTTACGAATCAAGACAGGACAAGACAAGATAAGACAAGACAAGGGAAAGCAAGGCAAGACAAGGCTAGCCAAGCGAAGACAATACAATACAATACAATACAATACAATACAATACAATACAATACAATACAATACAATACAATACAATACAATACAATACAATACAATACAATAAAGACAAGGCGAGACCAGACAAGACACTGTAGAAGATTCAGTCAACTGTCTGAAAAATACAAAAAGAACTTCGACGTTTCGAGGGAAGGCCCTGCCCTATGAAAGTTTGTTGAATCTTCTAAAACAACTTTACATAACTTAAGGCTAGTTTCCACTCAGGAAAATTATCCATGGATTGGAACGGACAAGAAAATTTCCTTTGTGTTGAAATCATTAGTTCTAACCAAGAGCTCGCAAGACAAAGAAAAATTTTCTTGTCCGTTCCAATCCACGGATGATTTTCCTGAGTGGAAACTAGCCTTTTTGTACTGTATTTTACTTCACTCCGTTTCACTGTAGGCGTATGTGGAACCTGCCCAAAATATCGACGCAATTACAAACGATAACACTGAACTAGATGAAGTATCCAGAAATGAACAACAGCAAGAACTAACCGAAGCGGTAGAAAGTATCTCTATGGATAATAATGGAGTTAAGCCTGATGAAGTTGTGCCAAATGAATCATTAGAAAGTCATACTCTATTTGCCGAGCTGCAGGAAAACCAATCTGCTCCAGAGAGCGACTCTACCACTGGCAGTAGCAGTGCAACGCCTTTCCTCAGTCCAGTAGGGGAACTTGCTGACGATTCTCCTAGCGATGAAATGAGCGCGTATTTCACCCCACCAGATGAAGGATTACCGATTACTGCGGAAACAGCGAGTGAAGGACAAACAGTTCTGTCATCTCCCGAGTCTGACCGAGGTGATAGCCACAGACGTTACGCGTATCCAGAGATTGAACTTGGTGATATACACAAGGTAGACCCAGTTAGTTATTTTCTTGACTCGCGTACGAAAACCTATACATTTATTAAAAATTATTATTAGCATGTCAAAATTACTGGATGCTGATTGGTTGAGAAGAGTACAATTATTTCATTAATTGTACTGCAGTACAATTTGTACTGCAGTACAATTAATGATTTTCCCCAAACAAACAAAATGGCGGAAAGGTATTTAAACACAAAAGAAATTGCCCCACAGGAACTTAAAGCAAAAGAACTAAATGAAAATACGAACAAAAGCACCAAATTTTGGTTGAAAATCTGGCAGGACTGGACTTTGGCGAGAGAATATGATGTTGACATTGAGAATTATCCAATTTTGTCATGCTAATAATAAACAAGGAATCGTGCGATGTTGCTCGTACAATTAGGGATTAATAGTACTCGTGGTCATTCGTACTATTAATCCCTAATTGTACTCGCCATCGCATGATTACCTATACTAATAGCATGGCATTCAGGTCGATCAGTGATTAAACGTACCCGAAAGCCGAGAGAAGTTCAGTAAAAGTCGGGACTTTTGTTAAACCTCTCGAGGCTGGAGGGACATTTCATCACTAATCGACCGTAATGCCGTGCTATCACTTTGCAATATCATAGCTACCGTGACAATAAAACGGTTTCATTCGATTGAATAAGTTAAAATGAAAAAGGCGCGTTTGCTTTTTGATACTAATGACTATTGGAATGTTTCTTAATGAGGTTACGGTTGATTTTTCATGTCTGTTGAATAATTTAATTGAACATCAATATAAGAGGTATAACAAATTTCTCGCCCATGAACTCAAAGTACGTTTTAAACTTTTAAATTTCGCGTGCAAGCTATTCTTAATGCTGCTTAAAAAAGAAACCCCTTGCTTTGGAAAATTTATCTTTGCAAAAATTTTTTGTTTATTCTACATTATAAGTACCCAAACAATCTATATTTATCAAAAATTTCATGAAGTGAATCAATCTCGTTCCCCGAGCCTGCGATCCTCGGAAAGGAATGCGAGGCTCTGGGATAATCCGTTGCCAGAAGCCAAGAATCCTGGCTAAGATTGAACTACGCATTTCATATCAACGGCCAATCAAATTCCTCCCTGAAACGGATTATCCCAGAGCCTCACGTTCCTTCCCGAGGATCGCAGGCTCGGGGAACGAGATTGGAAATGAATGGATTTGTGAAATTGAGAGCCGTTTCAAAATTGTCTACTTTTTTATACACCGTGTATAAATATATTTAGACCTTTGGATGATGCTTGGATGGATAAATAAAATTATAATCTGAAGATAATATCGATTAAATGCAAGATACAGCAATGATCCAAGTGTTGTTTTGTATGTTTTTACATGTCTGAATGTCAAATACCATTTTATACCATAGGTCAAAATATCCCATATTCAGTCGCCATCCAGTTTCTTCTGTCAATTATTGAGAACTGCGATCGAGTTCTCCCATCTCATGGAAACCATCCAAACAACCTACACCGAGGACATCGAGGACACTCTTACTATTGATTTACCCACTGTGGGAATGCCGTGTTGTGCCCAGTCTCCTGATGATGACAAATGGTACCGCGCTGTCGTCCGGAACACGGGAAATGACAATCACGTGAATGTGACGCTTGTTGACGTGGGGAAAACCCTTTCCATTCCCGTGGGAAGACTTAAAGGCATAAGTGATGAGTTAGTCACCAGTCTTCCACGCCAGGCTCTTCATTGTTCTTTGGTAGACCTTGAGCCCGCGGATGAAGAATGGTCTGCGGATGCTGTCACAAAGATGACCGAAGTGTGTGCCGGGAAGGAGCTGGAAGGTATCTTCCGATCACGTCATCGTAAGGTATACAATATTTATCTTCGTGATCCAGAGAGCGATGCTTCGGATTTTGTGAATAAACTCCTAGTGGATCTAAAATTGGCGAAAGTTACTGGAAGGGATTCTGACTCCGGGGAGGTAAGCAAAGGCTTGGGGCCCATTTCCACTAAGGAAAATTTTCCGCAGAAAGAAGATTTTGTAAAATGCGATTGGCCGACACAAATTTTCTGTTGGAAAAGAATTTTGAAGTTAACTTTTTTAACAATGATATTTTCGGAAAATTTTCTCCCCGTGGAAATTTTTCTTGGGTGGAAACGGGCCTTTATGGATGATACTCTTTTTTTTACCGCTGTGGCTCTTTTAAACCTGGAAGACATGAGGCAAGCGAGTTATTTATGATACTGTAGTGAAAACATATATAATCACAAACTATTATCTTTCATAGGGCACCGACTCGAATGCAAACAATGAATTAAATCAAGGTATGTCTTGTTATTTTGCTTTGGAATGCGCCTACTAATTTCTATATAGGAGCAAACTTACTTACTATTATTGGCCGACTCGAAAAATAGCTAGCACAAGTTTGCATAGAGTAATAAACAATTTTTGAACAGAGACTGTTATTTAAAGCAAAGTGCAAGAGTTTAAGATTGAAAAATCTATGCAAGCGAAATTATAGTCCTTTGAAATGCTCAAAAATATATTTTCATTACCCAACCCTTGAGTTGTTTTGTTTTTCATTTACCCAACCTTTTACTCACTCAAACTTTTGTTTACCCAACCCTTTTCTCTTCGGTGCCACCCCCCACCATAAATAATGACCGGTACCTTAATGTACATTAAATTACACATCATATATCGTTCGATTCACGTGGCGGAAATGCAATGCACTGACGAGTGATAAATCCGTGAACTCAGTTGGTCTGCGCCATTTCCTAAAGTAATATGGTGATTTTCTGATGGCTGTGCTCTAGATCTGTGCAGCCACTCGTTCCATCACCAACATTTCTGTCAAGGTTAGAGACTTGGCAACGCGTCTGAATCTATTAAAGAGAGTTTCCCAGGGGGAGGCTGGTCTGTGTTTCCATGTTCACTAGAACATGTTTCCTTTGTTTCCTAGCTGTCATCTACACCTGGAGTAAATGCCTATATAGTCCAGCGGATATGCACAGATATTTGAGAAAATCATGCACTTTGTGAAGAAAGCACCAAATTCACAGGAAGTGTAAACTCTAACATAATAATGAATCTTAGATATGGAGGCATCACCAAAATTAATGCTGACGGCTTAAAATTTAGGATTTCTTATATTCTCTTATTAATCTCTTATACAATTAAAAATTGTGAAATTGCATGTTCACATATAGCAAAAATGACACGCGTCATTAGAAAGCTTACAAAAAACTGCATATAAGACATTTAAGCAGTTACTTTGATTTTCCAACTCCTCTGGAGTTATGAGCGGTTGAAAATATGTTTTAGGGCTAGT